AAACCACACTGGACCTTTTCTAGTGACCAAGACACAATGTAACACCTGAGAAGTTCTTTGCCCTATATGTTCCTGAAAAGACAGTGTTCCCTGGATAGGTAGGGGATCTTGTATTTGTTAAAAATCTGTGTTCCCACAGCTCCACTCACCCACTGAAGTACACGGGTAATAGATATGAAAAGGCTTCTGAGGCAGAACCTCTGCTGATGGAACCCAATTTCTACCAGGGGCTGCAGAGTTTGTATTTCTGAGATGTCTATGAATTCTTTGCAGAAATGACTCATGTGCTTACAGAAAACTCAGATTTTTAAAACATATTTCAGAAACTTTTTCAATAAATATCTCTTTGCCAGGAAACAACAGTAACGCAGTATGATTTCCACATCACATATTTCACAAGGCAGACTGCTTGGGTGGAGAAGAGATTTTTCTCATTTCTTGATAAATCCTTTCAAGAGGCCAAGATAAGACTTCTCCACCACCTGTTCCTGAGTTCCACGTCCTGTTTCTACTGAGACTGTGCTCCCAGAACACGAAGATAGAAAGTGCTTTCTCAACTATTATTTACATCATATTGCTATATTACCAGTTTTTCAGGTTGCTGCTATTGTGTTCAGAATGTGTTAACCTCCAGGCAGTCATATGATGTCCATGGGAAAGTTACTTACTCAAGTATTTAAAAGTAGTACCAGGTAGCAACTCCACTCTCAATAAAGCACAGGTCTGATGGATTATGTATTACAGAAGCAAGCTGTGAGTGAGCACAGCGGAAATTCTGACTAGAAACTTCTCCTAACTGATGAAACTTGAACCCTTCATCACAGTCACACAACCAAAGGGGTAAGAACAAGGGGGGCTCTGAAGAAGTGTCTGAGAGTCCCTGGGAAGCAGACTGGCTCATGAGGCATGCCTATTGGCTTTTGCTTTAGCAAGCAGCTTCAGTGTGGTGTCTGCAAAGCAAGCAGCACAGTGGGAAGTGTCAGGTGCCTGCTCTGCACTCACAGACAAGGGAAAGCAAGCTATGGGGCCAAAAATGCAGTATCATCCTCCAGAGGGCAATCCTGGGTAGCCAGAGGCATGGAATGCGACTGAGTACAACTGTGAGAGTCTGCTGCGGGGACAGGGATTTCCTGTGACGAACATGCCCAAACACACAAAGGATTAAAACATAATATAACCGCTTAGGTGTCTTTGTTAGTCTTCCCTAAGGAGCTAAAACTATTTTCAGAACTGACCACTTTGAAAACAAAATTTTTCTTAAAACTAGGGACAAAGTTGGGTTTGACAGTCTCGGTTCATTTTAAACCAAGGATCTGCCCAAGGGAGAGACCATGTAGTCAGCTGAGTAATTTCAGCCAGCGCAGATATCCACACAGTGGATGTTAGTAAGGACAGATGTGTCAATATCCCAGAGCCTGGAAACAAATCAGGCAGATGGTTCCTCTTGCCTTTCAGAAAAGATTACAGGAGGCATAGCTTATGTAACCTGCACATCACACTTCTGAAACATGCTCCATCTCACACAGCTGACACCATTTGAACAAAAACCATACAGCTTTCCTCAGTGTCTCCCTCCCTCCCTCCCCCCTCCCTCCTTCTTGCACAGGACTTGCACAACTGGGAAAGTTTGGTTAGTAACTTTTAGGAGGACGATACTGCATTTTTTTCAGAGACAGACACTAATACAGACACACACAGATTGAAAAAAAAAACAACTTACCTCCTCAAAGGTCATAGACCAACTACCGTTTTCAACCATAGGTACAAAGACAATTGAAAAAAAAAAAAGAGGAATATCCAGTGAAATTGCACACCTACTAATACATGTAGGAAATGGCAGTAACAGAAACAGACACTTGTTAATATTCTCACTGTTTGTTCAGAACGCCATATAGTGAAGTTCTCTCTGTGACTGCAAACATTCAATGGAAAAGTATACTCGAGGCAGCCAGTGGGCAAGTCTCAACTCAGGAGGACTCAGGCTTGAAAACTCCTCCCTCTCCAACACTGCTATTTGCAGTTTGCATGACTTATGAAAATGAAAATGCCGTGTGTGGAAATATTAGCAACTACAGATGACTTGTTGATTTTGTGTTAATGCTGGGTGGGAGGAAATTCCTCATAGGACAAGATCAGAAGGCTTGCAGAATAGTTCCTCTTTGAAACTGTTAAGCAGGGAAAAGCAAATGGGAAACTGTCTGTTTATTTCTGGATGCTGAAGTTTTTGAGAAGCCATTTAAGGGATGGTGAGGAGAAACCAGAGAAATGATAACTGGCAGGAAAAGAAAATGAACTCAGCTTTCAGGAAAAAGTGATGCAGAAGGCAGTGGCTATGTAAACCACACAATATTTTGGGTGTGTTGTCTGCTGCTATGATGAATTCTTGGCACAGGCTTTAAAAATACTTAAGGGTCAGGAGAAAATGTTTCTCTCACAGATCCAGCACAATTTTATTAGCAAGAAAACCATTCACTCTTGAAAAGTTTTCTTTAAAGAAATGCTTCTTTTAATTTTTATTTTTTATGTGCATTGGTATTTTGCCTGCGTTTATGTCTGTGTGAGGGTGTCAGAGCCTCTGGAACTGGAGTTACAGACAGTTGTGAACTGCCATGTAGGTGATGGGAATTGAACCAGGGTCCTCTGGAGGGGCAACCAGTGCTCTTAACCACTGAGCCAACTCTCTAGCCTTTGGACATTTAAAAGAGTTAATCATCAAACTTAGATTTTCAAAAGTCAGTTTTTTTTATCGACAAAGATGAAATGCTTAGATATCTATTTCACCTATAAATGAAAATTCAAGAGAAACCTCTGGATATTGGAAAATACTTAATGCTTTCTTCCTTTTCTCATCACATTCAATTTCATCTTTCTTACAGAAATTTAAACATTTCAAGTGTCAAACTAAAAATAAAACTTTGCAGAAGTAACTACAGGAGGCAAAACACTGCATTTCTTTAGGTACTACAAACAAACAAACAACAGCCCCTGCAAACTCAGGTGGTACTCTAGCAATGGAGAGTAAACATTTCAGCACCACAGGCCACATTTCCACGCTGAAATGACTGTCACTGTGTAGAACAAAAACAACACACCAGTCATCCAGATGTGGCCCACAAGCCGCTGTAGCTTTCTATTCTAGCACACAGATAAAGTGG